CATTAAGCCTTGACCTCATGTTCCTTTCAATCTCCACTGCAGCTAGTAGCTCTTGGCTGGAGATCATCAGAAAAGAGGGAACTAAATATGTCTCAATGAGGAATCAATCAAAATGCTTGGCTCTTAAACAATATGAAATTCCTTTAAGAAAAAAAAAAAGATATGTAATTCTGGCTGCATTGTGTGCTGCAGCTAGCAGCTCTTGTCCACAGACGAGACCAATTCCATGAGAAAGTAGTCATTGGTTGGTAAAATTGTATGCTTAGCCACAGAAGTATTCAAATACCTCGCAGGGTCTTTCAATGCAAGAACCCTCCAACAAATTGGGCACTCCTTGCTTCTCTGAGACCTGAACAGAATTTGCATGATGTTTATTGAGCATATCAACCAAAACCCACGGTTAAAAATGTGCAGACGGGGAGGAACTGTATGTCCCCGACATTTGACCAAAATATTATACAGTAACAAATTTTGAATGTACCATTCAAGAATACACTGCAAATGATATTCATGCTTACAATCTGTTACCTGAAAGAAAACAAGAAATTAAGAAACTAGGGTAAATGCATTATGGAACACAATAATCAAGCATATGCAAGAATTGCCACACGGATCAAAAGAAGGCATCACCATGAGAGAGCAAGAACTTTGCAACATCACTTTGATACATACTTCCTTTACGTCAAACAAACTGAAGTAAACTGTCTAATATATTTTGAGAAAGTAGCAATCATAACTATTTCACAAAGTAAAATTAGTTGGGAGAATAAGACCAATCCTTGACAAATCACATTGGACCAGAATAAGTAAAAATCATAAGACTAAGGTTGAGATGGATGTATCAACAAGAGGGGCAAGGGTTAACAAAAGAGTCCTGAAATAAATCATACCACTACTTCATGCATATTATTTGCATACCTTTTTGGTAAATTACATTATCATTATGGAAATCCTAATATAAGAGAGGGCAAGGGTTAACAAAAGAGTCCCGAAATTAGAGCAAGGTCCCGCTCTAGAAGAACACGATACACATTTGGGGCACATAACTCCTATTGAGAAGGAAAAAATGTAATTGAAATTATGTCCACAAAAATAAACATATAAGAGATTCGATGTAACATGATACTCACTGACCAAATGACATCAATAAAGAAATACATGACTACATCTCACACTAAATTTCAACAATTAAACCACAAAATCCAAACTTTTTCCTCTTATATTGTTTTATATACCAATTGCTTCCATTAAAAAGTCGTCGGAACTTCCAAGGCGTGAAAACTACACACTGCTAGAACTCATCCATTCTGATCAACATACATTAGAGTCATCTAACCTCTCCTTAATAAACAGAAAATCCTTGACAAAGCAGAAAATGCATCACGGAAATGCTAAGAGCCAGAAACAAACCCTAACTTTTACCAATATATAGCCAATTATGGAATTTTAAAAAAAAAAACAGAAAATGCAACAAAATAAACAGGCACGCTTGGAGATAACATACAGCAGGAAGATCATCAGAGACAAACAGGTAAAGGAAAAAAATGCTACAGGCAGATAATCCCTAACTTTACATATATATTTTAAAATTTAATTTAATATAACAGGAAAATGCATCAAACAGAAAAGCGAAGCTTATAGCATACAGCAGGAGGATCATCGGAGTTGAACGGCTCAAGACAAATACTACAGGCATCCTCAATGCTATCATCAACGACGGTCGATGCTGCTGCTCCCGCCGGCGATGTTTCCAAATCGTTCGCCATGAAATTCAGCTAGAACTGTAACAATGCCAAAAAAAAAGTAAGTATATGTGTAGATAAAGAGAGAGAATGTATGTATAGAGAGAGAAAGAGAGAGCATACAAAGGGGGAAATGTGGAGAATAAAGTAAAGAAGAAGGGAGATGAAGAAAATATTGTTAACAAAATCCTAGAAATATGTAGAGAGAGAAAGCGTGTAGAAAGGTCAAAGAAAAGAATTATGGATGAGAGAGAGAGAGAGAGTAACAAAAAGTCCGATCTCTATTCAGACGGTTGTTGGAACTTGGAATCAATCAACTCTTGCCTTTTTTGCTTTTTTTTTTTTTTACTACTTTTGTTCCATTTATTCTTTTCGTCTTTGATTTTATTGCCTGGTTTTTTTTTTTTTTTTTTTGAGAAATATGAGGTCATTTTTCGTTTCAACATATGATTTTAATTTTTGAAAAATAAATTGATTCATAAATTTATATCTAGTGAAAAAAAGGACCATTATTAGTGTATATACTAGTGGTGAATTAAATATTTATTCATGAAGATATTTTTTAAAGTTTTGGACTCTTCAACTAATTTAGAGTTGTTTAAGTTATAGGCGAAATGGTCTGATGGACCCTTATATTTGTATCAGTTTGTATTTTGAATCCTTCTACTTACTCTTTTGTCATCTGGACCCTTAAACTCAATAAAACATAATTTAGCAAGTCCCTCTGACCATTGACCAAATTTATGTGTCTTTAAGATGGCTGAGTTGGCAAAATTGTGTGACTTCACGCACCTTAAGGCGAGTGAATAACTTTTTTAGGTTAAGAAAATATTAAAATTAAAAAAGAAATATTTTTTTTTAAAAAAATAATTAATTAAAAAGTCTTTTCTTCTTCTCCACTACCCCTTTCTTTTTGGCCACGCCTGGAATTTTTTTTTTTCTTCTCCACAATTTACTAACATCGGAGACCAGCGCTCGCCGTAGACAAGTGACTGATTCACCGGAGACTAGCACTCGCCGGAGACCACTAAATCACAGTGGCGTGAGAGAGACAAGCGGGGCCAGATCTAGTGGTGTGGTGGCTTAGGTTGTTGTTTTTGTGGAGGTTGGAGGAGGAAAAAAAATAGTGATGGTGCGTGGCGGAAATGAAGATGGTGAGAAAGAAAGTATACGTGATTTCGCCGACAAAAATGGCGACGACAGCGATGACTTTCTTCAGCGACGGCGGCGTCCTTTTCTTTTTCTTTTTTTCTTCTACGAAGAACCCAAAAATGCTCCCAATCTATTTTCATAAAGTTGTTAGATTTTTGTTTAATTTCATTAAATTAAGTGATGCCTCCTTTTTCTGTGAAAAAAAATGAAGAAGAAAAAATAGGGGATATGGAGATGGTTTTGAGTTTTGACAGTGATGATTGGTTAGGGGAGGTGGAGGGAAGGTGAGAGAAAAAATAATTTTATTTTATTTCGTAAAATAGAAAATTTATTGATTTAGTCTTTTATTTAACATTTTTATTAATAATTAAAAATCGTTATGAAGAAAATTATGACTTGTCATTAATATATATGACATGTCAATTATATAAAGGAGAGTGAGCTACACACATGAATGGAGGGGCTTAAAAATCTCATTTTAATTGAGTATAAATGCTCAAATGACAAAGGAATAAGTAGAAGAGTTTAGAATACAAACTGATACAAGTATAAAGGTCTACCTGACCATTTCGCCTAAGTTATATGATGTTGATTGTTATATCTTTAAAAAGACAAGTTAAAAGTGAGCAAGATATCAATTCCACGACCAAAATATTTATTTTTGTTCATATTATTTCTCAACTATAATTTATGGTATATATTGACCAATATTTATCATTTTAAATTTTGCAATAAAAAAAAAAGGTTTACACTTGGCATAAATTGATTGTTTGTACTATATGAAATGATTATGTTAAAGAATAATTAATTATCACTATTATTGATAAATGATTTTTTATTAAATTATATATATGTATTTGAAAGTTCGTAATTTAAAATATTTGTTTATGAAAAAATATAGAAATATCATATATGTGAGTGATCAATGCAGGGGCTTAAGATTTTTCAATATATTGTTTATGAATAACTATGATTTAAGATTGTATGAGAATTGAATTTTTAAAATAGTTTTCACACATGAAATTTGAAAAAAAAAACTTAATAAATGCAAATTATATATCTAAATAAAATATCATTTTAAAATCAATATGATTTCTAATACCTAATTTCAACTCATGTCTAAACAAACCCTATTATACCACACTGCTTATTGAATTAATTATGTTTGGCATCTGAAAATCAACAATGACGTACTGAAGAACGAGGATCAAATCTACTTTGGATTCATAATTTTTCTAATTTTTAATATGACTTTTGTACTCTAACTTATTTAATTAGTATATTTTTTAAAGAATTAATTATTTATAGTGGATCGTGCCGATCTCGCATACTATGTTTAGAGTATTTTAGATTTTAAATATGAGTATTCAATATTGAGTTATCAATTTTCAGTTTCTTTGAAGGTATTGAAAATTACTTCGTCATAAGATATTAAAATAATATAAAATTGAAAATTTATTAGATGCACCTTTTCAAAAGTTAGATAGTTTCTTTTTTGTAAAAAGGAATATTTACAGATCTTGATCATGATACGATTTGTAGTATTATGGAAAAAAAAATCATTTTATATAAAAGATTTAAGTATAAATTATAGGAACCACATATTATAAGTATTAAATAACATTTTATTCCTTCTAGTTTTCTATTTACCAAAAATTCCTTAAAAATGATGTTTGCGGGATACATAGCGTTGTGCACGGGATACATTAAGTTTTATACATTCCACATAGCGGGATACATAACGTTGTGCACGTGATACATATCATTGTGCACGGGATATATTAAGTTTGATACATTCCACATAGCGGAATACATAACGTTGTGCGCGGGATACATAAGTTTTATACATTCCACATAGCGGGATACATAACGTTGTGCACGTGATACATCACATTGTGCACGAGATATATAGCGTTTGATACATTCCACATAGCGGAATACATAACGTTGTGTATGGGATACATAGGTAAATAAGGGATTTTTGAAATTTTTGAAATAAGTAGGGATAAATAAATATTAAGATAAGTAAATGAGTGTAGTTAAATAATTTGTCCAAAGATTTAATACTATTTAATTGAAGTAATTTCATTTTATCCCAAAATTCTAAGAAAATGAATATTTTTGCACACCTCAGCCTCACAATCGACGTCGTCTTTTGTTTCATCTTCTTCAGTTAACCTCTGTACACTTGTCGAGTCCAATTCCTTCTTCCTGAATGGCGTATTTCTCTGCAACTCAACTGCAAACTCTTTCATGGACTTCATGGACTTCATGGATTAACCCTAACGTTGCCTATCGAACTCCGAAACTTTTGTTCTATCCAAAGCCTTTGAGAGCTTCCTTCAGCTCATCCAATGTTGAAACTACAACTCTAACGAAGGATTCATCAACGACAACGCTCCGGGAACTCTGTTATGGTCACGTGCAAGAGCACGTGATTCGCCGGTAAGATTATGTTCCTTAATGCTTCACTCTTCAATTTGTCACATTGCTTTGATAGTTGATATTCCGGAATTTTCCAGAAGGATAGTGTTAATGCTACAGAAATTTTCTCCAAATATTGATTCAATTGATACTTGCAAAGTACTTTTACAGAAATTGAGCCTGTCGAAACTGGAAAGTGTGATTTTAAAGTAATTAGTAAGTACTTCATAAGCTCCAAATTTTGATTAAAATAGATTAAATTTTGCTTGTGAAGTAATTATCTAAGTAATTTTTAAATTTTTAAGCTTTAGGCAATATTTGTTGGAAATCGTTGCAGTATATGTTTGAAGTTTCTGAATATAGAGTGATTGAACTTTTTGTTTCGTAATAAAGGCAGCAGAATTTTTTTTGTAGAAATTGCTTGAAATGATAGTTTTCTCCAAATTTTTCAAGGAAAAAAATGAAAGTGAGATTTTTTATTTATGTATAGAATTGTGTTATTTAAAAGGTTGGCTCTAAGGAAAAACTGATACATGGAGCTCAAACTGCAGGGCAGAAGAGGTTGGATATGTGATACCTACAGAAGTGCAGCTACAGGCATTGCCTTTCCTCTTTTCTGGACGTGATTGTGTGCTTCATGCTCAGGTTGATACATACTTTTGGAACGTTGCTTCAGTGTTGTAACTGTTGAAACTTGACTGCATGATTGTTGATGTTTTTATGTGGGGAGGACTTTGTATTGAAGACATGCTTTATGCATTGCTTCTGAATTTTCTTGCAATAATGATTTATTTATTGGGTGCTGTATCACTTTTCTCAAACTTCAATGTTCTTTGAAGCCATTCTATCATCCTTTGTAGCATCTATTGTTTAGTAAATTGTGAGTTACTCTGGGTAGGCGAACAAAATTCTTGACTTAAGCACAATCTCTTTAAAATGCCATTGGGTGATTATAGTACTATGTACTGTTGAGCATATTCTTACAGATACTAGGGGCTGGAATGTGGATGTTACAAATTTTTATCAATTTTAGTATATGTCCTTTCTGTTCTTTTATTGTTTCGTTGTGTCCCACTCCTCATATCCAATAGTGAGGGCTGAATCGTCTTCTTAATTATGCTTGACATTTCATCATTTAGATGATATCCATCATGTGATTGTTTTTTATCAGGGAAAACGAACTGCTAAAAAGGCACTTAAAAGTTCCAACTTCCAAGTTTCATAGTAGGAGAAATGTAGAAGTTGAAAACATGAAATGTAAAGAGACCAGAACTACAAGTTCTTAGCAATAGAACTATTCATTGACCATTTTTAATCATTTTTCCTTTTCTTATTCTCTTCTCAGTTTCTCCCATTTCCAACTGGCCTCCTGTATTGTTAATGAAATTGAAGTTGCTTTTTCTTTCTATTACCCCACTAGACAGGTTCTGGGAAAACCTTGGCATACCTGCTCCAAGTATTGTCAGTCGTTGACAGTCAAAGGTCAGCAGTACAAGCATTGATCGTGGTGCCTACTAGGGAGCTTGGTATGCAAGTAAGTTTTTGTGGAGTTATTCCTTTTTGCTTTCCATTTATAATGTATGTTTGCTGAAAGTAGGAACATTAGGGATGCACTGACATTGTTTTCTGCTTTATCTAGGTTACAAAAGTTACTCGGATGCTTGCTGCAAATCCTTCAGAACATGAATCAGGACTGAAATCATGCACTGTTATGGCTCTTCTAGATGGGGGGATGTTGAAACGACACAAGAGTTGGCTAAAGGTACAGAAGCTTTTAATGTTGCTTGTAAATTTCATGTCCTTGAGCGAGAAAAGTTTAAATCAGTATTCATGCGTCCCCAGAGTCTCTTTTTTAAATTCGTCTACTTGCCTCATATGAATATCTTGACATCAGAACTCTTAATTAAGTTTTAATTTTTCTTTTTCTGGGATCCTCTTAGTAAACCTTTGATACTTTGTTGTATTTTGTCCAAGTTTCATTCTCATTTGATGTATATTATTGTTGTTGTTGTTGTTCTCTATCTTGCATCTTGAAGTTTACATTCTTCACTGCGGGAATGATATAAAGAGTGTAATTTTCAAATTCATATGTGCAATTGTGCGTAAAACTAAGAGATTAGTTCAGAACCGCGTGAAACAAATTTAGTGTACAGCTGAAACACTACTGATATCCATCATCTCTCTCTCTCTCACACACACAAAAAAAGAAAAGGCCTAGACTTGGTCTGTAGGTTTTCTTTGTAAGGTGGTATTGAGGGAGTGCACCTTATCTTTTTAAAGGTATTATTGTGGAGCTTTAGCTCATTTTCTGTACTTTTGCAATTTTATTTTTTATGATAGTCTGTCAACTCGTTCTTACTTCTGTTGCCTCTCTCTCAACACCTCTGTTTTGTTTATTACTGCTCTTTCTCCCAGAAATTAAGAGGAAGCTTCAGCATATTTTTACGAGGTGTGACTCTGAGATGTTTGTGCCATTACAGGCTGAGCCACCCACCATTGTTGTTGCAACTATAGGAAGTTTGTGTCAAATGCTTGAGAAACATATTTTGAAGCTGGATACCTGCCAAGTACTTGTTGTTGATGAGGTAATCAAGATGCATTTTCTATCATATACTTTCTCTTTGCCTGTGTTGATCCTTTATTTGAATGGGATCCCATGAAGAGTGAGACTAATAGCATCAGCATATGGATGCTGCTCAACAATTGAAAAAGATGCTACCAATGTCGTTGTAACTTCCCTTTTCTATATTTTTCCTTTCCATTTGTAAAATCATAACTACAATAATATATTCTTTGGAAAATTCTATATCTTGAACAAGTCATGACAAACTATGTAATTTAACTATTCCTAAGCCTCATAAGTCATAACAAGTGAATCTTATGCATGCTTGTATTGTGCAACTATTTTGCTCAACTTCAACTCAATGCTTAAAACAGAAATACATGTTCATTATTGCACCGATTTGTAGGTGTGAACTCTGGTGAGAAATGTGTTAAAAAGGGGATGAAGTAGACCTAAAATCACATAGAAGAAAGTTGTCTAGAAAAGTTAACAATTTCTTGGAATCTATGCAGACTTAGCTAAAGATAGAGCACGATGAAGAAAAAGATCCAATATCATCTAGTAGTTGAGAATAGTAATCTTGTTAGTTCCCGCCACAAGAAAGACACATGGAAGATGTATGCTGAGCGCGCAGAGGAGTTGATAGTTTGTCTCGGTAGGGAACTGTACCATCTTTTCCCCTATTGTATTGAATCAATAAAAAAAAGAGGCCAGTGCTACGCTATTGTTTGATGCATTGGTTTGAACCTATTGCTTTTCTAGGAGTGTGACCGTATCATTGATTGATATGCCAGTAACAATATAGAGAACTTTTAATATTGTCATTGTTATTACTATTATTTATGTATATTTCACTTATTTTGGATTATTCTTTTGTTATGATGATAACATGAGTTGAGTTTATTAAGTGAAGAACAAAGTTAATGGGGATTCTCATACCTGACTCCAACTTGTTTGGGATTGAGTCGTATTTGTTGTTGTTTATCTTCATTTTACATATTTTAGGTTGATTTCATGTTCAATTCTTCAAAAGAAGTCAGCTCTCTTAAAAGGCTGTTGACATCCTACTCATCCAGCAAGAACCGTCAAACAATCTTTGCTAGTGCTTCAATTCCCCAGCACAGAAGATTTTTGTACGACTGTATGCAGCAAAAATGGACCAGGGTAAGCTGGAACAAGTATCTTTGACATGATTTCTCTTTTTATGACTTTGTTATGATCTTCTGATAATCGCATCACAGGCGTACTTATCTAATTTATAATGACAGGCAGATGTAGTTCACGTCCATGTGAATTCAGTAGAGCCGATGCCTTCATGCCTCCATCATAGATTTGTGGTGATACTATCATAAACTTCTACAACTCTCTTTACTTCTCTTTTCTTGCAAATTAACTCACTTACAAATTCCATTTACTGGAATAAGCTCATTACTTGTCACTCTAGATTTTTGTTAATTTCACTTTCACAGTTTTACGGTATCCTAGAACTGGCTAGAAGTATTAGATGGAACAATCCCCAACAAGCATAGAATAAATAAAATCAGCAATCTTTTTGTTAACTGGTGTGGGATGGAACTGCCATACTGAAAAAGTACCTGTAATTAGATCATTCTCTTTCATGTTGCTGGAAACTACTTACTATGTTCCTTGGTTGTTTTATTTCCATTTCCATGAATGTCTAATTTTTTTTAACTTTTCATGTGTCAGGTATGCAACAGAATGGAAAAGAATCCAATGTTACTCTCTTTATTGCAGACAGATTCACCTGGATCTGCCATAATATTTGTCAGCGAGCAAGTTAGTATCTTCAACCCTGTTAAGTCTCTGTACAATAATTATTTTTTGAGTTTCGTTATGAGTGATTGGGAACCTTAATTCCTTATATAGTGGGATTAATTGTGATATTGATCACTTTCAAGTATTGACACCCCTCTTTATTCATAATCATTGAAAGCACACACCAGAAACTTCTCAAATTTAGAGGTAGGCTGAGTTTCCAGGATGATCTTGTAGAGAAAAGCTATGTGATAATTCTCACCCCCACTGCGCAGGAGCTGCAAGAAGTTGCACTTTGCTGGGAACGTTTCTTATGCTTCCTTTACGTGTCTTTCTAAATGTGGTGTTATTTGGGGTGCTACGTAGAACTTCTAAATATCATTAAGGGGATGCATCTGTATGTTTAGTAGCTTCTTTTCAACTTTATGTATAAATTGAACGTGTAAACTTCCCCTATTGGAATTTTAAAAGTTCATTTTCCTTCCCTTTGTTATGTTTTGGATTTATGCTCTCTTTAACATCAGAAGAAATCAGACCTTACTTCAAAGAAAAATCAGTTGTCTGTAAATCACATGTCTAATTGAATAAATTGGAAAGAACCACGGTCATAGTCTCATAGATAATTTGAAAAAATGAATGTTACTTATCTATGCAACTTTGATTTTCTAGTGTTATAGCAATTGCATACCTTAATTCTAATGTTAACTTTTGAGCAGTCTGGGAAGTCAAAAAAGGCAGGAAGTGCACCACCAACTACTCTTTTGGTAGATTTTCTAAAGTCCTCTCGTGGGAGATTTTCTGACGTCTCTCTTCTAGAGGAAGATATGAATTTCAATCAACGAGCTGCATCCTTATCTGTAAGTTCTGCTGAGATATTATTGGTATCTGGTCGATTTATCATTTTAGATTCCAGGAAATGGTGAACTAATTTTTGTGATGCTGCCAGATTGTAATTCTTGTTCCTATCTTAGTGTGTGGTTTATATGTTCTTGGGATACAGGAGCTTCGAGGAGGAGGAGGAGGAGGAGGAGGAGGAGGTTATTTATTGGTGGCAACAGATATAGCAGCTAGAGGTGTTGATCTACCAGAGACAACACATATATACAATTTTGATATCCCAAAAGATGCAGTGAATTATCTCCATCGAGCTGGAAGAACTGGAAGAAAACCATTTTCAGATAAAAAATGTTTTGTTACCAGCATTATAACAGTGGAAGAGCGGTTTGTGTTACAGAGATTCGAAAATGAATTAATGTTCTGTTGTGAACAATTATTCTTTTAACTGTGCATTGAGTTCTTCTCCATAATTGTTGGCCTCAAAAGTCATCTCTGCCTCTCTCTTGCTGTTTTCTTTTCTAAACCAAGGAAAAGATAAATAAACGGCTGATACGATCAATTAGGGTGTGTATGGTATTCTGGAACAAAAAATTCAGTCCTCCCGTGATTGGTTGGTCAAAATGTTTTGGAAAATATGTTTATAAAAATTACGAAATTGACTTCTCTAGTGGGAATAGAAAGACAAGTTTCTTAAATGACATTCCACGTTCATTGTCTCATCCCATCCCCAACGCCCCCTCCCCCACCCCCTGCCACCCCACCCCACATAGCGTTTTTCTAGATTACTTATAAATGCATTTGGGACAATACTTTTTTGCTTACTTACCGAACACCAGAAAATGAATAAGAAAATCATTTATTTTCCAATATAACATTTTCTTATTTTCCTTTGTACCATATACACCCTTAATTTTGCTCAGAATATTACATCAATAGAGTATTTCAGTCCTTTGGCTCTTTCAAGTTCTAACAGCTGTGTAATTTTTCAATCTAAGGAAGACATTTTGCTGAACAAATTGGTAATATGTCAACATTTTATGGTTCTCTTCAAGTGCTCTTCCAAGAAAATTAACCCTATGTTCCTTTATCTTTACTAAATTGTTAACTTACCACCTCAAATTCCCAAAAGAAGATCCAGTCGAGCAGTGTTGGTGAGGATGCAGTACACGTGAGAAAACAGAGGAAAGATTTGAATAATGCAGCAATCTAGTGCAAGGCTGTACAGGTTTTTATGCACTAAGTAGTCTTACCTGTAAGTTTAAACTTCCTATCCTTCTTTAGTTCTGACTAGAAGAAAGTTGTTTCCAACTAGTAAAAAATATTACTGTGAAAACCATATTTTGTTAGTGTCGTCAACTAGTTTATTGAAAATGTTCACCTTTGAACAGACATTTTATTCTTAGTTCAAAATTCATCAATGGGAGAAACAACCCTTTTTATCATCAGCCTGTTGTTCAATATTTACTTGCTGAATGTGGAAAAGTTGATAATCTGAAACTTTTACTTCTCATATTTCCGAATTTTCTTGGTGCCAATGCTACTTGAAAGAAAAGACAAAAAGACATTGTCACACTTGTCATATCACAGTTCCATCTGGGATTGTTGAGTTCTTCGATATGACTGTGATGCCTGATCGGATGTAAAATCCTTCTGAGGATCTGTCTGCTTCTTGTACACCCTGCAAATTGATGTATCAGAGGAAATTAAGTGAGTCCCAGTAATAACAAGATAAAATTTGATCTCTTGCTGTTGCTGGGAGTATGGGAGGGTCATACCTCTGAGTTGGCAATAACAACATTCTTTCCAATTCTTGCATTCTTGTCAATGATGCAATCTCTGCATATTAGTTGAAATAGCATGAGAAATGAAATTAGAATCACATTCATTTTCTCGCTTGATAAACACTAAAGGAGAACATTTTTTAGTGATTTACTTTATTCTGGTATTCTCTCCTATTCCTAAAGGCACTTTTCCTTCAGCTAGCTGTGAAGCAATCTCAGCATCAGTTTCATAGTAGTCAGCGCCAAGCATCACTGTGTCCTGTATGGATTTCAACCAAGTGTATGCTGAATTAGCAGCAATTGCAAAAATCAAGTAAACGTAGAAGTACTTAATATGTTTGTATGGTCTGTTCTAATTGTTTTAATATGAAACACGAATGTACTTGTGTTGGATCCACGTGGAGTCTAGTTGGAGAACCAATTTTTGGTTTTGTTGTTCAAAAGCATAATACTGAACTTTTAATAGCTGTTTTACTAGACTAACCTTCAAGTGAACATTGGTGCCTATACGGGATCGGATGCCGACAACACTGTGCTCCACGAAGCAATTGGTCAAGAAACTACCATGTGATACAATTGAATCAACAATCTGGCAACAAAGAAATATGGTTAGTGGAAGAAATTTAAAGATGTATCTGTTTAAGATTGAAGAAGTGGGTCTGTGCCTTGAACCTTGCTATTATCAATTGCTGATGGAGGTAAGTTTCTCCTTGACGTGTATATTGGCTTTTTTGCATCATAGAAACTAAATCTTGGTGGCTGAAATGGAAAAAGAAAAAAACATAGTTGGTCATATGATTAGTACAGACCATCTTTTTTAATAGTCAAATAAGATTGATTTACAGGTGTTCAATAACCAGATTCCATCTTACTCAGGTTGTTTGAAGAAATAAACCCTTTAAAGACTGTAAAAAACATATAATAGCTCTCTGATTCTTACATGTTCAGTGAGTGCAAGGTTAGCTCTAAAAAAGGATCTGATTGTACCAATATCTTCCCAGTAATCATTGAATAAGTAAGCCTGCAAAATCAAGCAAAACGTGCTTTTACAGGTTGAAGTTAAGTTGCTTAGGAAACCATAACCGAAATAGAGAATTGAATTCTTTTGGGACGATGAAGACATGTGGGGGTAGGAGTGGGGGTGGGGAATAAGATAATAGAGGAGGAGAGGAATTGTGAGCCCGTGAACTGCAATGTAGTACCACTTGCACGTAGAATATCTTGCCTTATGATGGAAACAACAAGATTGGATGTAGTAGTAAAACTTTTTAAACAAACAGATAAGGTCTTGCATAAATGCCTACCAGAAATTAAGTGGTACACACCTTGACACAGAATTCTTTGGCAGAGGCAGGGATGATCTCTGAACCAAAGTCATTTGCAGTTGGAAAACGCCATCTAAAAAGACAAAGAGTAATCATTTCATGATTCTTTTACCTGATATCTTCAGCATGTCACTATAGACAAAGTATGAGGGAACTCAGGGTTAACATAAGATTCTATGCGGTCTCTTTCTGCTTTATAATAAGCACCACAATTTGCTTCTCTTGAGTGTAGCTGCCCCTATTCAGCTGGATGCATATAGTTTCTTGGCTTTTTTTGTCCTCTTTCCAAAGCTTCTCTCATTTGCATGTTGACAGGACCATGACACCCTCAAAATAAGGGTACTATAGAAGAAACTCGTTACATACCTTAAAAGATTGAGGAGAATATCCTTCTTGAAGACGTAAACTCCCATTGAAGCAATGTAAGGTTTCTCTTTAGCCTCTTCTGGAGATAATCCTAGAACAGTTGTGTCTACTGCCTGAAGTACTTGTTGTCAAGTGATTGCAACAACTTTAAAATTTAAAGTAGATTAAGCTCTGAGACTGTCAAATTTTCAAGAATTACCATCGCCTTCAAATCATCTCCTTTTGGCTTTTCGCTGAAGGACATGACCCGCCCTGTGTCATCAATTTTCATCAAGCCAAAATCTGAAGCTCGACTATCATGAAAATATAGAAGTGATTCAATAGAAGAAATTATGTCTTGTAGTGATTTTCAAAGCAGTCTTTGAGAAAGTATGCCATCGTTGAGAAGAACAAATAGCCTATATAGTATCTAGATTATCCCTCCTAATGCTACCTGTCATCTATTGGCAAACTTGATATGGTAATGTCTGCACCACTTTGCCGATGACTCTGTCAAGAAGATGGAAATATCAATGTGGAGTAATAGGTGATTTCAGATATATGATATCAATCAAGGTAAGTACTTATAGCTTAGTCTAGTCTTCACCTGAACAAAGTGCAGGTAGTCCATTCTATACAAGTGATCTCCAGAGAGAATGAGCACATCTTCTATGTCCTTGCTTCTTGCATCCTTAAGTTATGGAAAATCAGTGTGAACATCGCAAACTCAGTGTTTACAAGAATTAGTGTCATGTTTGTGACTAAGCCATATAATGAGGCTAATTTTGGGTTGGCTATAGCAGAGTGTAGAAAAAGTATTGCTTATATTTACATGCTGTTGTGCTGTATTTTCCTCAGATTAAGTTCCCTGGAAGAAATTAAACCGATACAAACTTAGCTAACTTGATCTTGCATTGGTAATTTGTTGAGGATGAAAACTATTAGTGGCCCTTTAGTTTACTTCTATGCCATCAAGTCATCAACAATTATATTCAGGTCGACTATAATTGAAATCTCCTGTTATGATGTATGAATATATGCATTTCGATTCTTCTTCAGAAATATTGCAGTTCTGGAATATATTGATGCTTGCACTGTTATTAGGGTAAATTACTAAATTATGGATATTGCAATTCAATATGACCATGTGTGTACCTCAAAAAGCCAGTGAAATTGCCTCACAGCATCTGCAGTACCTTGGAACCATCTTTTACCTAATTCACCTGGTGTTTGAGTTGCTGCTAAGACCTGTACTACAACTTATCAGCCATGATGCTGCCACTATCATCAAAACCTAAAACTAAGAAAATGAAAATTGGTGTTGTATGTTTACCTCGACATAGCCATCTCCGAATGTGACCCCATTGCCAAAGTTGTAAGCACGAGCTATATGCCTGTTAAGTGAGGCTGAGTTGAATTGAGTGAGAATGTATACTTTGTTGATGCCACTGTTAATACAGTTGCTCATTGGTACATCAATTAGCCTATATGCTCCTCCCATTGGAACCTGAAGCGAATTGATAATGACTCAATGGTGAGATGCAGATAGCTCTGCAAAACTGGTAGTAATAATCTCTCTCATAATCTGAAAAGAAAACTTACGGCAGGCTTAGCACGACGTTTGGTGAGGGGGAAAAGACGAGTTCCCGCTCCCCCTCCTAGAATGATTGCTACTACTGTCCTTGCATCGTCCTTCTTTGCTTCAAGATCCTTCAACTGTCCACATTTAACAGTTAGTCAAAATGGCCATTTTTAGAGGTAAAGTTCGAGAGGAATTCAAGATTTTAATTTACAGTCCGATACTACTACATAATGATATGGTGTGATACTGTGATTAGTTAAGTTGTTTTAACATAAGTTGCTCATTTGATCTAACTCCCAAGTAGTCACCAATGCTTCATTCAAAATTGTAAATGAAGCAAAGATATACATATATAGAAGACTCACCTTAGCCTCACCTGCAATATCAGTTGTAAGTGACATGCAGATATTAGGCTTCACTACATTACTCCTTAACTG